GTTTCACCATATTGGCCAGGCTGGTCTCGAACTCTTGACCTTGTGATCGACTATAGACATGAGCCACCACACCTGGCCTGTGTAACCTCTTTTTTTAAAAATTTGTTATGTGGTCTTTCTATATACTAATTTGCCTTTTTTTTTTTTTTTTTTTTTTTGCTGCCCCATAATATTTCATAAAGATGCATATAATTGTATTTAGCTCATTCCCTAATTGCTGAACCTTTTAAGGCATTTTAAGTTTTTCATGTATACACATTGTGGTAAATGTTCTTCTGCTGGCCGGGCGCGGTGGCTCAAGCCTGTAATCCCAGCACTTTGGGAGGCCGAGGCGGGTGGATCACGAGGTCGAGAGATCGAGACTATCCTGGTCAACATGGTGAAACCCCGTCTCTACTAAAGGTGCAAAAAATTAGCTGGGCATGGTGGCACGTGCCTGTAATCCCAGCTACTTAGGAGGCTGAGGCAGGAGAATTGCCTGAGCCCAGGAGGCGGAGGTTGCGGTGAGCCGAGATCACGCCATTGCACTCCAGCCTGGGTAACAAGAGCGAAACTCCGTCTCAAAAAAAAAAAAAAAAAAAAAAAAAAAAAAAATGTTCTTCTGCTTGCCTTTGTATGCAGTGTTAGTGTTTCCCTAAAGTAATACCAAGAAATAGAATTTCCTTCTATGTATGTTTAAAAATTTACTCTATTGCTACCCTTCTAAACTTGGTACCATTTATTTGTATTGCCCAGTTCCCCCTACTTTTTTTTTTTTTTTTTTTTTTTTTTTGAGCAAGTTTTGAAGTTTTAATTTGCATTTTCCTGATTATCTTTGGAATCAGGCTATTTTGTTTGGAGACAAGCTCTTGTTCTGTTGCCCTGGCTGATGTGCAGTAACAGGATCACAGCTCACTGTAACTTTAACCTCCTGGGCTCAAGGGATCCTCCCACCTTGACCTCCCAAAGTGCTAGGTTTACAGAGGTGAGCTATAACACCCAGCCATCAAGCATTTTTTAAATTTTTGAGAGTCTTACTCTGTTGCCCAGGCTGGAGTGTAATGGCATGACCTCGGCTCACTGCAACCTCCACCTCCTGGGTTCAAGCAATTCTCCTGCCTCAGACTCCCTAGTAGCTGGGATTACAGGCACCCACCATCATACCTGGCTAATTTTTGTATTTTTGTAGAGACAGGATTTCACCATGTCGGCCAGCTGGTCTTGAAGTCTGGTGATCCGCCCTCTCAGCCTTCCAAAGTGCTGGGATTACAAGTGTGAGCCACCTCGCCCAGCCCATCAAGTGTTTTTAATACCTGTCTAAGGTAGTTTTATTTTTTTCTGCTATTTTTCCAGAGTTCATGGATTTTTTTACATTTGGTTCTTAAATCTGTAGTGCATTTTTGTGAGTGATCTGTTCTAACCTTATTTTATCCAAGTAAATAGTCAAGGTAAAAAGACAAAAAGATGCAAAGAACAGATTTGCAGAGTGTCTCTTACCTACTTAGATAATTCAGGCAAATCAACTGAAAAACTATTAAAACTAATACAAGTTCTGCAAAAAAATGGTGGGATACAAAATCAACTTAGAAAATTTTAAAGCTTTTCACAACACCAGCAATAAACTTTCAAAAAATACCATGGTAAAACAGACCCCATTCATGATGGAAACTTAAAAGTACCTTCAAGTAGACCTACCAAGAAACATGTAAGAACAAAATGGGGGACTTACTCTATTCATGTACAGAAGATAGTTAGAAATCCATGTAGCAACATAGAATATGATAAAGGTGACATTTCAAATCAGAGAAAAGATAGGCGTCGAATATCTTGTACTCACTGTTACTAGATTCAACACAATTTCAGTGTAGGCCCTAGGCTCATCCAGATTTTCTAAATATTTGTTATTAAACACACACATACACAAAAAATCTTCCAGGGAGTAATTTTATATGTAACACCCTGAAAGCATAATGATGTCTTAGGCCATTTTGTTCATGCTTTTTCTTCTGCCAAGAAAATTAAACTGTTCTCAATCCAACAGTTCCCCTATGACTGCCGGCTTTTACCTGCCCAATTTATATTTCCAGAATTCAACTCTGTCATGGAATAGATACTCAAGCTGAGATTTCTGTCTCCTCAAACTTAGATTTCTTTAGATAACTTAAAGGTTAGGTGTAATCTTAATCATATTTCAAATATTTCTAACTTCTTGAGAATTAGGAATTTCTATTTATTTATTTATTTATTTAAATGAGAGGGTCTTGCTCTGTCACTCAGGCTGGAGTGCAGTGGTGCAATCTTGGCTAACTGCAACCTCCACCTCCCAGATTCAAGGGATTCTCCTGCCTCAGCCTCTCGAGTAGCTGGAACTATAGGCACGTGCCACCGCGCCCAGCTAATTTTTGTATTTTTAGTAGAAACAGGATTTCACCATGTTGGCCAGGATGGTCTTGAAATCTTGACCTCGTGATCTGCCTGCCTTGTCCTCCCAAAGTGCTGGGATTTTTTTTTGAGACGGAGTTTCACTCTTCTTACCCAGGCTGGAGTGCAATGGCGCGATCTCGGCTCACCACAACCTCCGCCTCCTGGGTTCAGGCAATTCTCCTGCCTCAGCCTCCTGAGTAGCTGGGATTGCAGGCACGTGCCACCATGCCCAGCTAATTTTTTTGTATTTTTTTTTTTTTTTAGTAGAGACGGGGTTTCACCATGTTGACCAGGATGGTCTCGATCTCTTGACCTCATGATCCACCCGCCTCGGCCTCCCAAAGTGCTGGGATTACAGGCTTGAGCCACCACGCCCGGCCTCAGAATTTTAACTCTTAATGTTGATTTTCCCTTTCAATGTCAGGAGAAAGGGTGGGTCTCTTCTTCCTCTTAATCTCTAGCAAAACCCAGTCTCTACTAAAATAAAAAAATTAGCTGGACACAGTGGCAGATGTCTGTAATCCCAGCTACTGGGAAGGCTGAGGCAGGAGAATGGTTTGAACCTGGCAGGCAGAGGTTGCAGTGAGCTGAAATCACGCTACTGCAGTTCTAGCCTGGGCAATAGAACGAGACTCCCTCTCAAACGTCTCATGCGTGTAATCCCAGCACTTTAGGAGGCCAAGGCAGACAGATCATGAGGTCATGAGATTGAGATCATCCTGGCCAACATGGCAAAACCCCATCTCTACTAAAAGCACAAAATTTAGCTGGGTGTGGTTGTGCACCTGTCGTTCCAGCTATTCAGGAGGCTGAGGCAGGAGAATTGTTTTAACTTGGGAGGCAGAGGTTGCAGTGAGCCAAGATTGCACTAGTGCACTCCAGCCTGGCGACAGTACAAGACTCCATCTCAAAAAAAAAAAAAAAAGAGAGAGACAGTACTTTGAATATCTGTCTTCTTGCTTAGCCCGTGTGCTAGACTAAGATTTGATTTCTGTTCCGGCTGTCACTATGTGAAACAAATTGTTTAGCCTCTCTACATGGATGGCATTATTCAAACCTGATGTATTCAAGAGGTTACTTGCAAGTTTCTTTTCTGCTCTGAAGTATTTATGGTTCATTTCCTTGACCCTTATCTTAAAGCTAGAACTAAAATTGGTCAGGAATTTCCTAGAGCAGGAGAGTTAGGAAATGCTTTTTTCCTGTTAATGACGTAAAAAGAAGTATCAGTATAAATAAGATCCTCCTTTGAATAAATGCTGTAGTGCGTTGCCAAAATACAAATTACTGGGAAAGTGAAACCATTTCCTTTAGCAGTCATCTTGTTATTTTGTCAAAATATTAAAAATTGTGAATTTTTAACCACTTTATGATTAAATTTCAAAAACTTAGGTAGCCTGAATATGGAAAAGATGGAAGCATAAAAATATTTAAGACTTATCTTTTTTTTCTTATTTATTTATTTATTTTAGAGACAGGGCCTCACTAAGTTGTCCAGGCTGGTCTCAGTCTCCTGGGCTCAGGCAGTCCTCCCACCTCGGCCTCCCAAAGTGTTGAGATTACAGGCATGAGCCATTGCACACAGCCCTGTCTTTTTTTATTTTCATGGAAGTTATTTTATGTCCTTGATTTATTATGTCATTCATCCAAGCAAATATGTGCTTATTGTCTACCACTGTGTACTAAATACAGGATCCAGAACTTGCTATGTCCTAACTGTGTTAAGTGAGGATACATCATCCTTCCAGCACATTGATGTGTAGCATAGCAAGGTATTCAGAGCTTTGCTAACCTCAAAAGCTCACTTGAGCTTTGATGTCCAGGGTTTTTTCTGGGGTTTTATTCTGTAGACATAATTGGTGAGTCTTAAGCAACAAGGTTGAGCTCAATCTTCAGCACCCCTCCAACTGGAGACCATGTTGATATCAAAAAAGGCACTTCAAAGCCCTTTTTTCTGAGTCCTCTTGTTAGTTTATCCAGAAGCCCACTATTAGTTACTTGGTTAACAAACTACCAGGACCTATGATGAATAGCAAAGACTAGTATCACTAGGGGAATTACAAGGATTTAGAGACCACCTTTCAAAATGAAGGTAAAAAACCAGCCAAATTCTTTGTTATACAATAGGACCTATAGTTTTCTTCGGACTCTCAACAGAGGTCTTTACCCAGGAAAAGAATAAAGGACCTCTGCCTTAGAACATGTCACTATAGCAGTTTTTTCTTGATAATTACGTTCTGTATATATATTTTAATGGAATGAACATTTTTACATGTCTCTTGCTTTTAACATGTCATACTTTACAACCTCTTCAACAACCCCACCCCCAGGCAGTTTATAATGATTATATATTATGTTTCTATTTTAAGTATTCTTTTTCCAATTCAAAAGTGCCAACTGATCAAGCTCACAAAGCATTTTGGTACTCTTCAATTGATCCATAAAAGTGCAGTGTTTTTGCTGTGTTGGAACGGTGAGCTCTTAATGTAACCAGAAGGGAGAGTTTAAAACTTCTAACACCGAGGACATATTAAATAACAGTGAATGGAAAACTTGTCTCTTGCAGCATTAATCTTAATATGATATTATTATATTTTCAGGAAACTGCTAAAGTTCCTGGGGAAGCAAAGTAGAATTTTTCATAAGAACAAAATGGGTAAGTTAAAGATAATTAACTTTGTGTTTTCAAAGGTAGATCTTCAAAATCAGTGAATGCAAGTAAAATTTCAGTAAACAAAGTAGATTTCAGTAGATTGAAACTAGTTGTCCCATCAACAGCTAATGTCTACTACACAGTCATGCCCTGTATAATGATGTTTTAGTCAGTGTTGGACCAATGTGTGACATGGTCTCAGAAAGATAATTATAGAGCTGAAAAATTCCTGTTGCTTACTGTGACATCTTGATGATCTGGTCCTTGTGTAGACCTCAGCTAACATGTGTTTGTATCTTAGTTTTTAACAAAAAACTTTTAAAAGTAGAACAAAATTTAAAAGTTTTTAAAATAGAAAAAAGCATATAGATTAAAAATACAGGCCGGGTGCAGTGGCTAATACCTGTAATCCCAGCACTTTGGGAGGCTGAGGCCAGTGGATCATCTGAGGTTGGGAGTTTGAGACCAGCCTTACCAGCATGGAAAAACCTTGTCTCTACTGAAAATACACAATTAGCCAGGCATGGTCGCGCATGCCTGTAATCCCAGCTACTTGGGAGGCTGAGGCTGGAGAAACACTTGAACCCAGGAGGTGGAGGTTGTGGTGAACCAAGATCGCGCCATTTCACTCCAGCCTGAGCAACAAGAGGGAAACTCCATCTCAAAAAAAAAATATATATATATATAAAGAAAAATAGCACTGGGTACATGGCTCACGCCTGTGAGCCCAACTGCCTGGGAGGCTGAGACGAGAGAGTTGGAGTGAGCCCAGGAGTTTGAGGCAGAAATAAGCCATGATTGTGGCACTGCGCTCCAGCTGGGCAACAGATTAAGACCCTGTCTCTAAAATATAAAATAAATATATAAGTAAAATGCTTAAGGTTCTTTGGGGAAGTCAATTTTTAAAAATACATTTATATATATATAAATACACTGTATGGTATATTTATTTTAAGCTAAGTGTTATTTCAAGAGTCAAAAAGTTTTAAAAATTAGTGTTTATAAACCAAAAATTACAGTAAAGTTAATTTATTGTTGAAGAAAAAATCAGTGTGCTGTAGCCTAAGTATACAGTATTTACGAAGTTTATAGTAGTATAGTAATATGTCCTAGACCTTCACATTCACTTACCACTCACTCACCTATTCACAAAGAGCAATTTCCAGTCCTGCAAACTAGTCCTGGAAATTAGTGAGTGCCTTATACAGGTATACCTTTTAAAATCTTTTATGCTATATTTTTACTATACCTTTTCTATGTTTAAATACACAAATACCATCATGTTACAGTTGCTTACCATATTCAGACAGTAACATGTTGTACAGGTTTGTAGTGTAGGAGCAGTAGGCTATATCATATAGCCTCAGTGTAAGTATACTCTTAAGATTTTTGCGTCATGACAAAATTGCCTAATGATGCATTTCTTGGACGGTATCCCCATTGTTAAGAAATGTATAACTGTATATTCCTTTTTTTTTTTTTTTTTTTTTTTTGAGACGGAGTTTCACTCTTGTTACCCAGGCTGGAGTGCAATGGCACGGTCTCGGCTCACCGCAACCTCCGCCTCCTGGGTTCAGGCAATTCTCTTGCCTCAGCCTCCTGAGTAGCTGGGATTACAGGCACGCACCACCATGCCCAGCTAATTTTTTGTATTTTTAGTAGAGACGGGGTTTCACCATGTTGGCCAGGATGGTCTTGATCTCTTGACCTCGTGATCCACCCGCCTCGGCCTCCCAAAGTGCTGGGATTACAGGCTTGAGCCACCGCGCCCGGCTAACTGTATATTCCTGACAGGCAGATCAGTAATAATATCGTGCTAACTCCAATTTGTGATTTCTAGTCAGTAGTTTTACCTTAAGAAATTTGAAACTCTTCCAACAAAATGATTTCTGTTGTTAAAAATATTAGAAGTATAAATTGAAGTAACTATTTTTATTTTTCTTCTTAGAGGTTGGCAGAAACTGCTAAAAATCTGTATACTTGAGTAGTCTATAAGTTAGAAGCTACTTACGTCTTTATGGGTCCCCCAGCTATTTATGAAAAATTAGACAAAAAAAGATACTAACATAGCTTTCACCAGATTGTTAACATTTTGCCACATTTGCTTTCACACACACGTGTGTGTGTGTGTGTGTATGTTTTCATAGTGTAGATTGGCAAAACTCTTATTTCAGTCCTCTTGGAGTCCTGACTGGGTCTCAGAATTAAGTAGGCATACATATTTATTACAAGTTTTACATGGAATGAGAGCCCCTTTTAAAATAACAGTGACCAAAGCCAGGCATGGTGGTGCACGCCTGTGGTCCCAGCTACAGCTACTTTGAAGGCTGAGACCTAAGGGTCCCGTGAACCCAGGGGTTCCAGGTTACTGTGAGCCGTGATTGTGCTACTGTACTCCAACCTGGGTGACAGAGCAAGGCCCTATCTCCTAAAAAAAATAAACTGCAAGTAAGTAAGTAGGCCGGGTGCAGCGATTCATACCTATAATTCTAGCACTTTGGGAGCCAAGGCAGGCGGATCACTTGATTTCACTTGATTTCAGGAGTTCAAGACCAGTTTGACCAACATGGTGAAACCCTGTCCCTGCTAAATACAAAAATCATTTGGGCATGGTGGTGGGCACCTGTAATACCAGCTACTCAGGAGGCTGAGGCAGGAGAATCTCTTGAACCCAGAAGGTAGAAGTTGCAGTGAGCCAAGATTGTATCACTGTACTCCACAACAAGAGTGAGACTCTGTCTCAAAAAATATGAATAAATGAATGAATGAATGAATAAATAAATAAATGGGCGGGTGGATGGATGGACGGATGGACTGACAAAGTTTTTAAAATGATTGTACTGCATTAACTTGTCTCTTTAGTCTCTTAAAGACTATTCCTCAATTCAAATTTGTCTGGTTGTTTTTTTGTGGTTTGACTCAAACAATTTTTGGCAGTGGTAGCACATGAGTGATTTTGATACTTAATTTTAGAGATTTCTGAATTAATTAATAAATGGAGATTTGTGGCTGAACAGTACTTCAGCTTCATCCTTCTCCTTCTTTTTAGGGCTTCCTAAGTTTTTAGGATAAACCTTAAGATATTTTATTTCATATGTTGATCATTATAAAAATTAAAATTATGTTATAATACAAAATTGTAAAAATTAAGGAGATCTTTAACTTGCATATGTAACTTTTACTCTGTATTTGGCTAGTGTGACTGAAGTCAGTCCAGCAGCGATGGTAGTAGCAGAGTAACATCTGTGCACTCTGTCTCCACGTCAGCTTTGAGGTTTTTTAAAGAGCAAAATTTTGTGCATATTAATTATTTTTAATTATGCATCCGTTTAAATTGAGTATTGTTTAAATACATATTTTGGTCATTATTTTTAACTGTCAAGAGTAAAATGCTGAGTAAAAGAAGTTGTAACTTTTAGAATTTAGGGCTTGTCAAAGGAAGCTGAGCTCACATGGTATGTAAACACTGATTCATAAATGTGCTATGCATTTTTATTTCTAAAAATCTATTTCAGGTGATATAATTAAAGTTATACTATTTAAATGTTTTGTCTTAGTCTTCAAATTTGAATGGACTGCTTTGGTTACAAAAAACTGTTAATACCTCCTTGAAAAATACTAGTAAATTTTCACCTGAAGTAGCATTCTTAAATCTACAGTTTATTCTGACATTGGAAGATGTTTAGAGAATCATAAAACAAGGAGTTAAAAAACTGTCAAAGTCTTGGTGACTACGACCTTCCAGATATGTTTCTGGTCTGAGTTCATTTTATTTTATTTTGTTTTTTGATATAGGGTCTTGCTCTGTCGCCCAGGCTAGAGTGCAGTGGTGTCATCTCAGCTCATTGGCAACCTCTGTCTCCCAGGTTCAAGGGATTGTCCTGCCTCACTCAACCTCCCAAGTAGCTGGGAGTAAAGGCGTGCACCACCACGCCCAGCTAATTGTTGCTTTTTTTTTTTTTGAGACGGAGTTTCACTCTTGTTACCCAGGCTGGAGTGCAATGGCGCGATCTTGGCTCACCACAACCTCTGCCTCCTGGATTCAGGCAAATCTCCTGCCTCAGCCTCCTGAGTAGCTGGGATTACAGGCACGCACCACCATGCCCAGCTAATTTTTTTGTGTGTGTTTTTTAGTAGAGGCAGGGTTTCACCATGTGGACCAGGATGGTCTTGATCTCTTGACCTCGTGATCCACCTGTCTCGGCCTCCCAAAGTGCTGGGATTACAGGCTTGAGCCACCGTGCCCTGGCCAATTTTTGCATTTTTAGTAGAGACGGGGTTTCACCATGTTGACTAGGCTGCTCTTGAACTCACCTCAGACTATCGCTGCCTCGGACTCCCGAAGTGCTGAGATTGCAGGCAGGAGCCACCACACCTGCCCAAACCTATTTACTTTTAATACATTGTGTTATTCAAAAATTGTTTCACTACTTGCTTTACTTTAGATGGAGAGGAGAAAACCTATGGTGGCTGTGAAGGCCCTGATGCCATGTATGTCAAATTGATATCATCTGATGGCCATGAATTTATTGTAAAAAGAGAACATGCATTAACATCAGGCACAATAAAAGCCATGTTGAGTGGCCCAGGTAAGTACAGTTCTTTTTCTTCATATATTCACTTTTAATGTTTGGTGGATATTTTAAAGTTGAATTAAATGATTCAGCATTTAAAGAAAGAGAATAACTCTTCTAACATTGTATGATTTTGTTTCTGTTTTTGTGTTTGAGACAGAGTCTTACTCTGTTGCCCAGAGTGGAGTGCAATTGTGCAATCTCAGCTCACTGCAGCCTCCACTTCCAGTGGGTTCAGGTGATTCTCCTGCCTCAGACTCTCAAGTAGCTGGGATTACAGGCACGTGCTACCACTCCTGGCTAACTTTTGTGTTTTTAGTAGAGATGGGGTTTCACTATGTTGGCCAGGCTGGTCTTTTTTTTTTGAAAAGTAGTATCACTCTTGTTGCTCAGGCTGGAGTACAATGGCGCGATCTCAGCTTACTGCAGCCTCCACCTCCAGGGTTCAAGCGATTCTCTTGCTTCAGCCTCTTGAGTAGCTGGGATTACAGGCCTGCATCACCACACCCAGCTAATTTTTTGTAGTTTTAGTAGAGACAGGGTTTCTCCATGTTGGTCTGGCTGGTCTTGGACTCCTGACCTCAAGTGATCCATAGCCTGGCTGGTCTTGAACTCCTGACCTTAGTTGATCTGCCCGCCTTGGTCTCCCAAAGTGCAGGGCTTACAGGCAGGCACCACACCCGGCCTTTGGCATGATTATATTGCATTGGGAAAAAATTGTTTTCTGCCATTTTCTGTTTTCCGTCATGTATCCTATAAGTTTCAACAAGACCGAATTGATTATTTTGTAGTAGGAAAGTGTTTCCCTATATTAGTTTCCATAGTCAGCCTTTTAACCAGACTGGTGATTTGTGCTCCTAGCTAGATAAAAAGTTTATCAATAAAAGTTGCCACCTTCCAAATCTATTCTTAACATTTTTCCTTGAAATAAAATTCACATAATCTAAAAGCAGCTGTTTTAAAGTGTACAGTTTAGTGGCATTTGCTATATTCACAATATTTTGCAACCATCGCCTCTGTCTAGGTCCAAAACATTATTACTCCAAAAGTAAACCCCACACTCATCAGCTATCACTGTCCCTTCCCATTCTCTACCCTCAGTGTCTGACTGCCACCAGTTGGCTTTCTAATTTGCCTGTTCTGGACATTTTATATAAATTGAATCATGCAGTATATGACCTTTTGGTATCTGGCTTTTGTTATTTGTCATGTTTTCAAGTTTCATTCATGTGGTGTATGTACAGTACTTCATTCTTTTTTATGACTGAATAATATTCCATTCATCCAGGTGTGAATATTTTACAGTTTATTCATCAGTTGACAAATATTTCAGTTGTTGACACATTTTGGCTGCCATGAGTACTTCTGTGAACATCTGTGTACAAATATTGTTTGAATACCAGCTTTCAGTTCTTTTGGGTGTCTTCTTAGAAGTACAGTTGCTTGATCATATGACAATTCTGTTTAACTTTTGGAGGAGCCACAAAATTGTTTTCACAGTGGCTGAATTGTTTTACGTTTCTGCCAACAGTGTCCTATTCCAATTTGTATATGTCTTGACCAATATTTGTTAGTGTCTTTTTTTATTACTGCTATCTTAATGGGTGTGAAGTGGTTATCTAGTGGGTTTTCGGTTGGTTGGTTGTTGGTGGTTGTGTTTTGAGATAGTTTCACTCTGTTGCCCAGCCTGGAGTATAGTGGTACAATCTCCACTTACCGCAGCCTCCACCTCCCAGGTTTAAATAATTGTCGTGCCTTAGATTGCTTCGTAGCTGGAATTGTAGGTGCATACCACCATGCCCAGCTAATTTTTTTTGTACTTTTGGTAGAGACAGTTGTCGCTATGTTGGCCAGGCTGGTCTTGAATTCCTGGCCTCAAGCGATCAGCTCCCCTGGGCCTCAAAAAGTACTGGGATTATAGACTTGAGCCCCCACACACCCAGCCTATCTGATGGTTTTTTTTGTTTTGTTTTGTTTTGTTTTGTTTTTGAGACGGAATCTCGCTCTGTCGCCCAGGCTAGAATGCAGTGGCATGATTTTGGCTTACTGCACCCTCTCCCAGGTTCAAGCAGTTCTCCTGTCTCAGCCTCCTGAGTAGCTGGGATTACAGGCACTTGCCACCACACCTGGCTTATTTTTGTATTTTCAGTAGAGACAGGATTTTGCCATATTGACCAGGCTGGTGTCAAACTCCTAGCCTCAAGTGATCCACCCACCTCAGCCTCCCAAAGTTGAAGCACATTTTTAATTTTGAAGTGTGACTTATTTTTCCTTTGGTTTTTGTGTCTTATATAAGAATCTGTTGTCAAATGTAACCCTGTGTTTTCTTACAGGAGTTTTATGGGTTTGGCTCTGAAATTTAGGTATTTGGTCTTAAGTTAATTTTTGTTTATGCTGTGAGGTAAGAGATCAGCTTCATTCTTTTGCATGTGGCTATCCCACTACCATTTGTTGAAGAAACCATTTCTCCATGGCACCCTTGTTGATAATCAGTTGACTGTAGATGCGTGTGTTTATGGGCTTTCATTTCCATTCCATTGATCTGTATGTCTGTCCTTATGTCAGTACCACACTGTTTTGATTACTGTAGCTTTGTAGTAAATTTCAAAATCAGAAAGAATGAAGCCTCCAGTTTTGTTTTTCTGTTTCAAGATTGTTTTGGCTATTTGGGATCCTGTGCAATTCTTTTCTTTCTGGGTTTTTTTTTTTTTTTTTTTTGACACGGAGTTTCACTCTTGTTACCCAGGCTGGAATGCAATGGTGTGATCTCGGCTCACTGCAACTTCCACCTCCTGGGCTCAGGCAGTTCTCCTGTCTCAGCCTCCTGAGTAGCTGGGATTACAGGCACACGCCACCATGCCCAGCTAAATTTTTTTGTATTTTTAGTAGAGACAGGGTTTCACCATATTGACCAGGATGGTCTCGATCTCTTGACCTCGTGATCCACCCGCCTCAGCCTCCCAAAGTGCTGGGATTACAGGCGTGAGCCACCGTGCCCGGCTCTTTCTGGTTTTGGTGGTGGTTGTTGTGTTGTTGTTGTTGTTGGGTTTTTTTGTTTGTTTTTGAGACAGGGTCTTGCTCTGTTGCCCGGGCGGGAATGAAGTGGCACAAGCCCTCCTAGGCTCAAGTAATCCTCCCACCTCAACTTCCTGAATAGCTGGAACCATGGGCATGCACTTTTTTTTTTTTTTTTTTGTAGTGACATTTCCCAGATTGGCCTTGAACTCCTGGCTCGAGCAGTCCTCCTGACTTGGCCTCCTGAAGTGCTGGGATTACAGGTGTGAGCCTGGCCTAATTCTTTTTCTATGTTTTTACTATGGAGATTTAAAAACCTACTCAGAAGTAAAGAGAACTGTGTCATACACCTCCATGTATCCATCATCCAGCTTCAATAGTTATTAACATTTTGCCAGTCTTTTGCTCTGTCTCCCATGCTGGAGTGTCATGGCACAGTCTTGGTTCATTGCAGCCTCCGCCTCCCAGGTTCAAGCAACTCTCTTCCCTCAGCCTCTTGAGTACCTAGTATTACAGGCATGCCGCCACGACACCCAGCTAATTTTAGTATTTTTAGTAGAGACGGGGTTTCACCATGTTGGCTAGGCTGCTCTTGAACTCCTAACCTCAAGCAGTCCACCTGCCTCGGCCTCCCAAAGTGCTGGGATTACAGGCGTGAGCCACTGCGCCCAGCCAATTTTGCCAATCTTAAGTCATTTCATTATCCTTACTTTTTTGGAGTATTTCAAGCACATGCCTGATGTTGTGTCATTTCAATTGCAAAATCTGCAGTAGTTCCCCTGTACTTTTTCTTTTTTTTTTTTTTAAAGCCATTAACTTTACAGAGAAGCAAGGTCATTTGTGTGCTATCCATATTTCAGATTGAATTATATTTGAGTTTTATTCTGTAAACTCATAGTTAAAATTCCAGAGACTTGATTAGACCCTGGTTCATTTTTCTAGGCAAAGGATCCTTTGTAGGTAGCACTCTTGTATTCCTATTGTATCACGTCTTTGAGCAGTGTCAAGCTTGATCAGTTGGTTCCAGGGTTGTAAGGCTGATTCATTCATGAAAAATTCCCTACTCTGATTTAGCACTCATTGTGATTGTTGTTCAGATTTACTTTGAGATTACAAAACAGTGATTTTCCAATTCTGTAAATTTTTTTTGCATTTATTAGCTAGAATTTTCCTATAAGATACTATTTGGTTACATTGAAATATATTCTGTATGGGAAAGACAATAAAGACTTGATTTTTTTTTTCCTTTTAAATATTTTTCAGAGTAATGGATTGGTTCTTCAGCATCATCCAGTAGTAAAGAGTGTTTTGTTTTTGTTTTGAGTGTTTGCATGTCATCATGAACTCATGACTTTATACTTAGTGTTTTTCTGTCTGTTGCAGTCACTCTTACTGATACTCAGCCGCTTGCTTCATTTTTATGTCAGAAAGAGCCACATTGTGTTAGCTCCTGTGTCCTTTTGACATGACTTCGTTAGTCTTGAAGAGCTGTTCTACTTTCTGTAATAATATACTTCAGGCATGCCATGTACATTGTTCCCCAATCCTGAAAACAGCTGTTTCTCAAAAAATCCCTGTTGTGTTTTAGTAGAAAATGGTAATTAGGGGCCCCAATCTGGGTGCTAAAGATACTTAATGCTCTTTGGTTGAATTGCACCCCCCAACACACACACACTCACCCACCCCATGGCTGTGATAATCTGATGAATTGCTTTTGAGCTTTTCCACGGGACAATGCAAGAAGTACTTTAGGGGGAGAAAAATCACAAATACCAACAGAATTCTAATTGAAAATTAATTTCATTTTATAACAACGGGCTAGAAACAAAGAGCTTTTGCTTTTTATAAATTTGATCTTCTTTAATTTAAACACAAGATTTTTATCTTGGAAGGATCAGGAAAACATTCAGCTCCAAACTACTGTTTGCATGAAAGCAATGAAGTACTGATAACATGCTACAGCACATACGCATCTCCACAGCATACTAAGTAAAAGAACCCAGACGCAAAATGTGACATATTTGTATGATTCCATTTGTGTGAAATATCCAGAATAGGTAAATCAATAGAGACAGAAAGCAGATTGGTGTTTGCCAGAGGCTAGGGAGTGAGGAAGACAAGGAATAACTGTTTAATGGATTACTGGGTTTTAATTTGGAATGATGAAAATGTTTGGGAACTATATGGAAGGGATAGTTGAACAACATTGTAAATATGCTAAACGCCACTCAATTGTACACTTTAAAGTGGTTAATTTTGGCCGAACGCGGTGGCTCACGCCTGTAATCCCAGCACTTTGGGAGGCCAAGGTGGGTGGATCACAAGGTCAAGAGATCGAGACCAGCCTGGACAACACGATAAAACCCCGTCTCTACTAAAAATAGAAAAAACTTAGGCATAGTGGCATGCGCCTGTGGCCCTAGCACTCTGGGGGGCTGAGGCGGAAGAATCGTTTGAACCCAGGAGGTGGAGGTTGCAGTGAACCGAGATTGTGCCACTGCACTCCAGCCTGATGACAGAGCAAGACTCCGTCTCAAAAAAAAAAAAAAGGTTAATTTTGTGTTATATGAATCTCACCTTTTAAAATCACTAATATTAAAGCCAGTATCAAAGGCTTTCATAAGTGCCTATTGGCAATATTTCAGACATGTATTCAAGAAAAAGGGAGTTCTGGTTATTGGCAAACCAAACATTTACCTCATTGTTGTGAATTATTTGCTGAGTTCTTCTGTACTCCTTTCTCTCTCCTCCACTATACCCCCAAACAACAGATACATAAAAAGCATTTCACATCTACATATACTTTGAGAGTTATAGTATTTTAAAACTCTACAGATATACTTTGAGAGTATAGTATTTTAAAACTTTTATGTAGTATTTTAAAACTTTAAAATATAACTTGATAAAGCTTCATCAAAATATAACTTTTTAAAATAAAACTTTATAAAATGTATTTAACATCTACAAATATACTTTGAGAATACAGTATTTTAAAACAGTTTATATAGTATTTTAAAATAAAATACTTAAAACTTTTAAAAATACTATATAAACATTTTAAAATACTGTATTCTCAAAAGTATATTTGTAGATGTTAAATGCATTTTATAAAATACTATATAAAAGTTTTAAAATACTATATTCTCAAAGAATATTTGTAGATGTTAAATGCATTTTATTTTCAGTACACAGTGCTAGTACTAGACTGCTAAATGATACAGCCTTTATGTAGCTGCAGAAATTTTGAGGAATGACTGAAAAACTGTTAATGAAATGCTGTTAAACAAAGGAAGATGTTGGCCAGGCACATTGGCTCATGCCTGTAATCCCAGCACTTTGGGAGGCCGAGGCAGGTGGATCATTTGAGGTCGGGAGTTTGAGATCACCTGGCCAACATCGAGAAACTCTGTCTCTGTTAAAAATACCAAAAAAATTAGCCAGGCAGTAGTGGCGTATACCTGTAATCCCGACTACTCAGGATGCTGAGGTAGGAGAATTGCTTGAACCCGGGAGGTTTGAGTGAGCCGAGATTGTGCCATTGCACTTCAGCCTGGGCCACAAGAAGAAAAAAATGTGTTATGCAATCTCATTAACATGATCATATTTAAAAAAAAAAAAAAAAAAACTGAAGGAGGAGGCCAGGCACGGTGGCCCACAGCCTGTAATCCGAGCACTTTGGGAGGCCGAGGCAAGCAGATCACCTTAGGTTGAGAGTTTGAGACCAGCCTGACCAACATGGAGAAACCCAGTCACTACTAAAAATACAAAATTAGCCGGGTGTGGTGGCACATGCCTGAAATCCCAGCTACTGGGGAGGCTGAGACAGGAGAATCGCTTGAACCCAGGAGGCAGAGATTGCAGGAAGCCAAGATCACGCCATTGCACTCCAGCCTGGGCAACAAGAGCAAAACTCCATCTCAAAAAAAAAAAAAAAAACACTAAAGGGGGAAACAATGCAATTCCTTTCTTGAAATGTTTCTTTTGCTTATTTGTTTGAGACAGGGGTCTCCCTCTGTTGCCCAGGCTGGAGTACAGTGGTGCCATTATGGCTCACTGCAGCCTCAAACTCCTGGGTCAAGCATCCTCCCACCTGAGGCTCCTCAGTAGCTAAGACTACAAGTGGGTCTCCCAGAGTGCTGTGATTACAATTGTGAGCCACCATGCTCAGATCATTTATTTTTAGTATTTTTCTTATTATTTTAGTTAAATAGTTGAAGTAGATTTTTGTTTGTTTCGTTTTTGAGATGGAGTCTCGCTTTAGTCACCCAGGCTGGAGTGCAGTGGCATGATCTCAGCTTGTTGCAACTTCCACCTCCTGGATTCCAAGTGATTTTATATATTCACGCATTCTCAGAATAGCCAAATCAGAAAACCTGTTACTTGCCTTGACTTTATTATTATTTATTATTATTATTATTTTTTTTTTTTGAGACGGAGTTTCGCTCTTGTTACCCAGGCTGGAGTGCAATGGCGCGATCTCGGCTCACCGCAACCTCCGCCTCCTGGGTTCAGGCAATTCTCCTGCCTCAGCCTCCTGAGTAGCTGGGATTACAGGCACATGCCACCATGCCCAGCTGATTTTTTGTATTTTTAGTAGAGATGGGGTTTCACCATGTCGACCAGGATGGTCTCGAACTCTCAACCTCGTGATCCACCCGCCTCGGCCTCCCAAAGTGCTGGGATTACAGGCTTGAGTCACCGCGCCCGGCCATATTATTTATTATTATTGTTATTTTGAGACGGAGTCTTGCTCTGTTGCCCAGGCTAGAGTGCAGTGGCACAATCTCGGCTCACTGCAACTTCCACCTCCCGGATTCAAGTGATTCTCCTGCCTCAGCTTTTCGTGTAGCTAGGATTACTGGCACCCACCACTGCACCCATCTAAATTTTTATATTTTTAGTAGAGACTGGGTTTTACCTTGTTGGCCAGGCTGGTGTCTTGAAATCCTGACCTTGTGATTCACCCGCCTTGGCTTCTAGTGCTGGAATTACAGGTATGAGCCACCATGCCCGGACCCTGACTTGATTTTTACATGACAATTCAGTACAACACGGGGATCCTGATAATCCGTAAAGACTTGATTCCCTGGACTGACCTTTTTCAAAAATGATTTCACTTTTTTATCCTGCTTACCCTTCAGTAATCATGCCACCAAGATTCTTGGGAAAAGCTACTTAAGTTTTCAACCCACAAAGAGAGAATTAGAATTTTAAAATTCAGTCTTGAAGAATTTCAAGTACTTTTTTTTTTTTTTTTGAAATGGAGTTTAATTCTTGTTGCCCAGGCTGGAGTACAGTGGTGCATTCTCAACTCGCTGCAACCTCCACGTCCCAGATTCAAGCGATTCTCCTGCCTTAGCTTCCCAAGTAGCTGGGATTACTAGCACTTGGCACCACACCCAGCTAATTTTCTGTTTTTAGTAGAGATGGCATTTCACCATGTTGGTCAGGCTGGTCTCAAACTTCTGACCTCAAATGATCTGCCCACTTTGGCCTCCCAAAGTGCTGGGATTACAGGCATGAGCCACTGCACCTGGCCCTCAAGTACTATCTTAATAAAAGTTTTTTTAAATGTTTTTGGCCAGGTACAGTGGCCGAAGCCTGTAACCTTAGCACTTTGGAAGGCTGAGGCAGGCTCCTAAAGTTTAGGACTCACTTGAGTCCAGGAGTTCAAGACCAGCAAAACCCTGTCTCAACAAAAAAATACAGAAGCCTGGTGTGGTGGCACACACCTGTTGTCCTAGCTACTCGAGGAGGCTGAGATGGGAGGATCACTCGAACCCAGGAGGCAGAGGTTGCACACCATGCCCCTGCACTCTAGCCTGAGCAACAGAGTGAGACATGTCTCAAAATTAAGAAACAAAAAACTTTTTTTATGTTGTTAATACTAAAAAAATCAGAATTCTGTAATTCGTTTGGTGCTGATTGAGGTTATTTTAATGATGATTAGTTTGCTAGGGCTGCCAAAACCACAACTGGATGGCTTAAACAACAGAACTTTATTTTGTCACAATTCTGGAGTGTAGATGTTGAAAATTAAGGTGTTGGCACAATTGGTCTCTTCTGAGGCTGTCTTCTTGTCTTGTACATGACTATCTTCTCCCTGTCTTCACACGATTTTCCCTCTGCCCATCTCTGTCCTAAACTCTTCTTATAAGAACACCAATCATAACGGATTGTTACCTAATGAACTCTTTTTAACTTAATTACCTCTTTAAAGATCTTATCTCTAAATACAGTCACATTCTGTGGTACTAGGGATTGAGACTTCAACACATGACTTTGGGGGACCCAGTTCAGTCAGTAACATACATAATTCTTTTGTTTTACAGGTCAATTTGCTGAGAACGAAACCAATGAGGTCAATTTTAGAGAGATACCTTCACATGTGCTATCAAAAGTATGCATGTATTTTACGTACAAGGTTCGCTACACTAACAGCTCCACTGAGATTCCTGAATTCCCAATTGCACCTGAAATTGCACTAGAACTGCTGATGGCTGCGAACTTCCTAGATTGTTAAATAAAATAAATTATAATAAACTGTTAACTCTTTTCAGTATTTAATACCTGTAGTTCAGTTAGTAATTTTTTCTTATATAGCATGTTGCCTGTATGCAGTTGAACTGTATAAAGTTCAGTGCAAAGCAGATTATCTTCTGTTTTTTGCATAGCAATCAAAGTTGAAATTCGTTTGCTACATCAACAAATTAAGGACATTTTCACAAACAGAAATAAACAAATATGCCAATTCGTAGGTGGTTTTGCCTTATCCTTTGAATGTGACTTAAAATCAGCAGTGATGATATAATAAATACTGAAATTTAGTCATAAATGAACACGTTCTACAGGGAAATAATGGGGCTAAATACTTTTGTGTTTTTGGTGTTTTTTTTAAGAAATCTATTCTGATCTTACAGCCGTCATTAGCATTACTAGAGTTATGCAAATAATTGCATTATAAACATGTTTATAACTTAGACAAAACATTGATTTTTATAACTCTCCAAGTATGAGTTGAAATTTCTTACGTCTTTTGATAAACTGCAATATTCTTCACGTGTACCTTGTCATTTTGTTTATTGTTACAGTTTAAGAACTTTATTTAAAAACAATTTTGGAAGGTTACTAGGTACAGCTTTTGGAGAAGTAACTGAACTATAGCCCATGGTCAGCAAGTAAACTACATAACTTAGAGTTCTTGTGCATTATACATTTTGGATAATTCAAAGTACTGTATTTGCGTTGACTGTAAAGCTTCCTTTGCAGTTTTTATTCTTCCTTCATAATCCCTTGTGATTATACTTCCAGTTGTTTAAATTGTGTTTTAAAAGACTATTAACTTTATTCAGATCTTAAAACTATACCTTTCTGAACGATTTCAGTCTTCTTCGAATTTGGATATTAAGAAATAACATGTGAAGAGATAGAGTGAAAATCTTATAATCCACTTAAGATATCCTACATGAATTATTTTTATTAAAATATGTCCCAGTAAATATACCCATAATCAGTGGGTCTTCTACTGAAGTCAAGCTCATTCAGCTTTTCTATTTAGCAGCCAAAAATTTTTTTGAAAAAATATTGACAGCATCTTTGTGCGTGGGAAAAGCAGCACTGGAGATGGGTTTAGTATTGTCTTTATCTCAGAGGTGGAACAAAGTTGTCATTACAGGGTCCATAAACTTAAGTCTGTAGCTTATTTAAGACTGGCTTAATATGGCTGAGCACAGTGGCTCAAGTGTGTAATCCTAGCAGTTTGGGAGGACGAGGTGGGCAGATCACTTGAGGCCAGGAGTTCGAAACCAGCCTGGCCAACATGGCAAAACTCTGTCTGTACTAAAAATGCAAAAATTAGGCAGGCCATGTTGGCACACGCCTGTTAGCCCAGCTACTCATGAAGCTGGGGCATGAGAATCACTTGAACCTGGGAGGTGGAGGTTACAGTGAGCCGAGATTGTGCCACTGTACTCCAGCCTGGGTGACAGAGCGAGATTCCATTTTTTTGTTTTGTTTTTGTTTTTTAAAAAAAAAACTGGTTGAGGCCAGGCGCGGTGGCTCAAGCCTGTAATCCCAGCACTTTGGGAGGCCGAGGCGGGTGGATCACGAGGTCAGGAGATCGAGACCATCCTGGTCAACATGGTGAAACCCCGTCTCTACTAAAAATACTAAAAATTAGCTGGGCATGGTGATGTGTGCCTGTAATACCAGCTACTGAGGAGGCTGAGGCAGGAGAATTGCCTGAGCCCAGGAGGCGGAGGTTGCAGTGAGCCGAGATCGCGCCATTGCACTCCAGCCTGGGTAACAAGAGCAAAACTCCGTCTCAAAAAAAAAAAAAAAAAAAAAAAAACTGGCTTAATATGGACCAGCTTTTCTGGAAACTGCAAAAACCATACACAGAAGTAAATTTTCCTCTTAAACATTATACATGCCAGTTTATTGAAAGCATTTAAATATAAATTACCTATTTTTAGTAACTTTTTTTTTAAGCTGCTCCTTGCAGAGCAGGGCTAACTTGTAGGCAGTGTGCCCAGAGCCGCCTTAGTAACTTCTTTAGCTATACTGGTACATGTCTTAGTATAGAAGATTATGTACAAGAATTATATTCTCCCACAGTGATAAATAATGCCAAATATAAACCTGAATGATGATTTCAAAAGGCAAGGTCAGGCTGGGCAAGGTGGCTCACGCCTGTAATCCTAGCACTTTGGGAGGCCGAGGTGGGTGGATCACTTGAGGTCAAGAGTTCCAGAGCAGCCTGGTCAACATGGTGAAACCCCATCTCTACTAAAAATACAAAAATTAGGCTGGGCACGGTGGCTCACGCCTGTAATCCCAGCACTTTGGGAGGCCAAGGCGGGTGTGTCACGAGGTCAAGAGATGGAGACCATCCTGGTCAACATGGTGAAACCCCGTCTCTACTAAAAATACAAAAAAATTAGCTGGGCATAGTGGCGCGTGCCTGTAATCCCATCTACTCAGGAGGCTGAGGCAGGAGAATTGCCTGAACCCAGGAGTCGGAGGTTGTGGTGAGCCGAGATCGTGCCATTGCACTCCAGCCTGGGTAACGAGCAAAACTCTGTCTCAAAAAAAAAAAAAAAAAAAAAAAAATTAGCTGGGCGTGGTGACACATGCCTGTAATCCCAGCTACTTGGGAGGCTGAGGCAGGAGAATTGCTTGATCCTGGGAGGCAGAGGTTGTGGTGAGCCAAGACTGTGCCACTGCATTCCAGTTTGGGCCATAAGAATGAAACTTAATCTCAAAAAAAAAAAAGCAAAGTCATAGCTAGAAATAAAGTTTAACTTTGACCAGTTTTTATACGTTATGTGTTGGATATTGAAGTAACCTTAAGCTGAAGGCATTAAAACTGAATAAAAGATTAGGTCAACCTGTATATCTTGAAGCACATGATACTTGCATGTTAATAAAGGCTGAGTTGACTGAAAGGTGTGATGAACACTTTGTGTTTGATTTTTTTTTTTTTAGCCTTAATTTTTTTTTGAGATGGAATCTCACTCTGTTTCGCAGGCTGCAATGTAGTGGCACAATATTGGCTCACTGCAACCTCCGCCTCCAGATTCAAGCAGTTCTCTACCTCACCTCACAAGTAGATGGGATTACAGGCGCCCACCACCACACCTGGCTAATTTTTTTTGTATTTTTGGTAGAGACGGGGTTTCGCCATCTTGGCCAGGATGGTCTTGAACTCCTGACCTCGTGATCCACTGCCTTGGCCTCCCAAAATGCTGGGACTACAGGTGTGAGTCACCATGCCTGGTCCAATTTTTTTTTTTCTATTTTTCTTTTAGCCTTAATTTCTTTTCTTTTAGACTTAATTTTCTTCTGAGAATTGATTAAACTTTGTCTCAGGACATTCTGCCATATGACTGAATATGGGTAGTTTTTACTTGGTTAAATTTAAGACATAACACTGAAATCCTAAGTTTTGTGACACTTGGTAGTTTACTTTTCAAATTATGTGCAGATACTATTTTTTCTACTTAAAAATTTACCACAGAATCCTTTTGCTTTATTCAGTTATTGATTTTTACACTAGGCTGTGCTTTTTTAAAAAAAAAAAAAGATGAGGTTTCACCGTGTTGGCCAGGCTGGTCTCGAATTCCTGAACTCAAGTGATCCACCCACCTCAGCCTCCCAAAGTGCTGGCATTACAGGCGTGAGCCAACACGCCCGGCTTAGATTATGCTTTTTAAGTTGCTTTCACGTAGTTATTACCAATCTGCCTTTTTCAATTTTTTTCTTTTTGATTTTTAGAGAGTCGTGCTCTGTTGCCCACATTGAAGTGCATTGGTTTGATCATTGCTCACTGTAGCCTTGGCCTCCTGGGCTCAGGTGATCCTCCCAGCCTCCTAAACTAGAACTACAGGCATGCACTATTGTGCCTGATTTTTTTTTTCTTTTTAATCTTTTGTAGAGACAGAGTCTCACTTTGTTGCTCAGGTTGATCACGAACTCCTGGGCTCAAGCAGTCCTCTGGTCTCAGCTTCCCAAATTGCTGGGATTACAGGTATAAGCCACCATACCCAGCCAATCTCTCTGCTTCAAAGTAGGGAGATACTTGTTGATACTGAAAGATAGGATTTATTTCAGGTGGTAAATTCAGCTCATGATAACAGAGAAATACCTTTAGAGACATCTTACTATACATGGAGCTGTCATCTCAGTGTAATTTTGCTAAGTTTATCAATATTATTCTTTGAAAATAGCACACATATTCTGAGAAATAACATAAAATTACCATTAATGGCCTGGTGCAGTGGCTCATGCCTGTTTTCCTAGCACTTTGGGAGGATCACTTGAGGCCAGGAGTTCAAAACCAGCCTGGGGAACAGAGCGAAACCTCATCTCTACTAAAAATACAAAAATTAACTGGGTGCAGTGGTGTGTGCCTGTAGTTTCAGCTATTCAGGAAGTTGAGGCAGGAGGATCACTTGAGCCATGGAGATGGAGGTTGCAGTGAGCCAAGATGACACTGTAGCACTCCAGCGGGTAACACAGTAAGATTCTGTGTGTAAAAGGAAAAATTATTGGCTGGGTGCACTGGCTCACACCTGTAATCCCAGCACTTTGGGAGGCTGAGGTGGGTGGATCACTTGAGGTCAGGAGTTCAAGACCTTGGAAACGTGGTGAAATCCCACCTCTAGTAAAAATACAAAAATTAGGCAAGTATGGTGGTGCATGCCTGTAATCCTAGCTGCTTGGGAGGCTAAGGCAGGAGAATGAATGGCTTGCACCTGGGAGGCGGAGGTTGCAGTGAGGCAAGATCATGCCATTGCACTCCAGCCTGGGTGACAAAGCGAGACTCCCATCTCAAAAATAAATAAATTCTTTTTCTAATTGTTGTCTATAGAACAAGTTTGATACAAATTAAAGTTTTAATGTATCCAAATTTAGTAGTGCTAAGTTGAACCTCTGATTGCCTGAATCTTGAGTTCCATAGAACACTTAATGTCTGGTAGTCAGAGATGCCATTAATCTTTTGTGTATTGTGTTTTATTTGCAATACCTGGTTTAATTCCAGGCCTGTAAGGTTGTTGTTGTTTTTTTTTTTTTTGGAGACGGAGTTTCACTCTTGTTACCCAGGCTGGAGTGCAATGGCGCGATCTCGGCTCACCGCAACCTCCGCCTCCTGAGTTCAGGCAATTCTCCTGTCGCAGCCTCCTGAGTAGCTGGGATTACAGGCACAAGCCACCATGCCCAGCTAATTTTTTGTATTTTTAGTAGAGACAGGGT